CAGCTTTATGTGTCCAGGAGGCAAATATGATGGGTAGATTCTTCAAGGTGCCACTTTCAGGATGAACGCACTTGCATTCACATTCTTGGGTCACTCCACTGATAAGGCCAACTCCTGGAAGAGAAACTTTGATTGGCTAAGCAAGAGCAAAGCAGATTGACCAAGAGTCTAATCATATTTATAGAGAATGAGAGAAATATAGCCACTCAAAAAAAAAGGAAAAGAAAAGAAAAAAGAAATCAAAGTGCTGTTACCAAAAGAAAGTAGTACAACATAAAGCACAAAGATGAGTACAAAATATAAAGCAGAAAGAAACACAAAAATCAAATGCTCACTCCTGCTGGAGTATGAATGGAAAAAAGAAAACATAAAAAACAAAACACTGAGGTAAAGAGAAGAAAAGACAGCTCAGGTCAACAGAATGTTAGAGTAGCCTGATTGGCTAAAGTATAGGATGAATAGATGACATAGGATGAATAGAGCCAGACTTTGACCTGCTGGCCATCTTCATCTTCCTCTTCTATGTACCCTGCACCATCCCAACCAGTAAATTGCTCTTCTCAACTTATAAGGAGCAGATTGCTGAAGCACTTGATTCAAGGGAAGAGAAAGTTTGAGCTAATAGCCATCCCCACTAATGAGGGATGGGACTACACTTGTTATGTAGTTGCAATCAGATTCCAGGCACAAACATTGGAAAGCCTGGTGTATTTCATCCTCAAGCTTAGAAGAGCAAATGGCTTTAGCTACAAGGCTTAGGACTGACAATTTGTCTTCGGAAATATACCAAGGAGTTTCTCTCCACCTGAGCCGAGTAGCCTCTTCTACCATAGCTTCCTCATTCTGGGCATTCAAGTAGTAAAGGAGACAAAGCGGTTGTACTGGGGGCATTTCTGAAAACTGTAGAAACCATAGAGATGCAGACCATTTCCCAATGGTAACATTTGGAGTTTTTTCCCACAAAATCCGTGGGAGTTGCTTCTCTGATGATTCTCCCAGTCCTCCTCCCATCTTTGCTCTGAACCGCATGTTGGGTAATTTGTGAGAGCTTTGCTTTCTTCATTTGTAATATGAAGAGTTTGAATCAAGTTCTGTCTTAAGAGTTCTTAAGTTATCCTTCGATGCCAGGTTCAAAAGCTTGTTTGGGGTCACGTTGAGAAAGGACTTGACTACTTCGGACTCAGAAGTTTGGCCTTCAGGCTATAGATTATGAAAGTTAAGTACATGATCTTTAGAAGCAGAATCATTGGCTTCAAATCCTTCTCAGATCTCTCATGGACAAATATGTTAATTTGAGAAAGTATTATATCTTTTAATTATTTTATTTTATAAAATAAGTGGATAAAAATTCACAGTTAAGTGAAATAGCTCATAATTTTTAAGATATAATAGTAAGAGCCACTGGGGTTTTTAAGGGCAGAGTACAGTGGCTAAGGCATTGGCAGTGGCAGGTGCTCTGCTTGATGGAATGATTGGGTTGGCATCTGATAAGCCAACAAATCTAGGTATCACTAACAAGTGACAAAACGGAAATGCCACAGACAAAAAATAACAACACAACCAAAAATTATAACTATAGCAAATAATGTGGTGGATTAATCAGTTATTTTAATAGTAGATAATATTTACTGAACACTTCACCATGTGGAATTGTTTAAAATGTTAACTAAAATACCTGAAATCAGGTAGTCTTGAGACCCAGGAGCTATTTTTCAGCTCAGTCTTGGCCCCACTGCCTGTTGCTTAATTCTTCTCTAATTTAAATTGCTAATTAAGGAAAAATGTGCCTTTAAGTGTGTTTGTGTGTGTGTCTGGTGTATACATACTCTATAAATATATATATATGTATATAAAACAGTTAAATACGTATATATAAAATAATTATATATAAAACATATCAACTGGGATCATGTAGAGTCGCAGATAACAGAAAACCATAATAGTTTCAGAAAATAAATATATACTTTTTCTCATAAAACAAGAAATCTTGTTATGTAGTTTCTGATATTATTTTAGGTGCTCATTGAAACTGTCAGGGACCTAGGCTGTTTCTAACCTCTACTCCAATCTCCTAAGCGCGTTGGATTTTTCCCTTGTGCAAGTCACTTTATGGTCAGAATGTGACTACTCCATGTCAGATATCTGGTCTAGTTCAGTGAATAAGAAATGCCCTTCTTCTGTGTGAGGTCTCAATGGAAGACTGAAAGGGCAGGTAGGAAAGTGAGAAACTAGATCTTATGACTATTTCAGATCACTGTGATCCATATCCTAGAGCAGAGCATGTTTGGGCCTGAAACTAAGTCAGGCTTCTTAATTTAAAAAAAAAGTATAGTGGAAAGAATGCTGGTAGGCAAGTAGCAGAATTCACCATAACAAGGATAAATAAAATTGCCTTACTTGAAAGATGCTATGATACATTATGAAGAAAAGTAAAGTATTAGTGAAATATGAGTCAAGAGAAGTCCTTCCAAAATAATTGTAATCATTTATGTCTTTCATTTTAATTAATGGAAGAAAATTTTAAATAATTCTCAGAAACTACAGATAATTCCAGGGTGGGGTGGGGGGAGTAGTCACTGAATGAATAGACAGCCTTTTCTTACTGTTTTCTTAAGTAGGCCAAATTTTGAGAGGGCTAATGTAGTATTTTTGTAGTTAAAAAATAATGGTTTCAACTGATAATCCATTTTCAGGGACAAGAATCACCCTGGATGACAAAATGTGAGCTTATCCATGTTACATTAGGTGAGTGATTCTAGCTTACTTTAGTGGACAGACTACATCTGTTCTTCTCTAGTTAGCATTTTCTCGGGCTGCCAGAAAGCATCTCATCACTTGGCATGTCCCACATATTAGACAGATAGGAAAAGAGAAGAAAGCTGGAGTGCAGTTGCTGAAGGACCTGTATTCTTAGAGCCTTGCAGAAATGACAGCTGGGAACAGGCAGGCATGATGGTTGCTCTATGGCTGTAATGAATTAGCAGCAAGGGTAGACATGATCTGTTGACTGGACAAGACCAACGGAGAGAAACAGAATTTCAGGATTTCTAACTGTTAACTACTTCAGAGGGATGTCAGGAGGTCCAAGCTACATGGAAATGCAGGACGTTTGGAAGTATAAATAATAAGTAATTGTTGATAAGTGTGATACTAGTTTTAAGTGACTTTCCTATCTGACTGCTCTCCTTCTTTGACTAAGGAAATTGTTTTGAATTTGGAAAATTATATGTGCAAGCATTCTGGATATAGTATTTATGTGCGCTCAATAAGCAGCATGTTTTACTTTGATGTCATTTGTTTTCTGCTATCATATCATATTGGGTAGAAGAAAAATAGATTCTGATCATTTGCTCAAATATATGAGAAACGGTGTTTGGAGAATAAGAATTGTGATAGTCAATTCAGTTAAAAGTACTATTTCTTATGGCATCTTACTGAAGCTCTGCCAACAGGTTAGGAGACAACTGAAACAATAGAGTCAGAAATTTCAAAATTGTGTCAATATGTGATTTGCAAATATATTTACTGTTTGTGTAAGAGGTATTTGTGTTGCAAATATGCACACCCACAGAATGCTATTTTTACATGGTCATGGTGGTGCAAATACATGGATGAATTATAATTTTGAGATTCAAAAGGACTTGAAGAGACTGTGATTTATATGATTATTACAGATTTCGTAGTCTATAATTTTTTGTCTTGGCTCAGTTGCTTAATATGCTTGAAAAGATAAAAGATAACTGTTTCAGGGATTTTTATTTATATTTTTGTAGGTATTTCGATTTCTTTTAAGTATAAGAATAAAAATAAGAATAAGAAATTATCTTCATAATTTAACATCATTGGGGCATCTTTGTGGCTCAGTAGATTAAGGATCCAATTCTTAATATCAGCTCACCTTTTGATCTCAGGGTCATGAATTCAAGCCTTGCATTGGTCTATACGCTGGACATGGAACCTACTTAAATAAAAAACAATAAAATAATAACTTAGAATAATTACCTTTAGGTATGAAATTAGTCATTGATAGATGCACAATGTAAGTTTTCTCACCTATAGCCCAGTTTATTTTTCATTAAAGTATAGTGGCAAATAGGCTTAAAATTATTTCTGTAATAATAACATTAATAATAATAAAAAAACAACTATAATAATAAAAAAAATCTAAATTTTTCCAAACTTTGTCCCAAGTTAAAAATATCTGCACATAGAAAATTATTTTGATTTATTATATAAAGGGAGAAAGTATTAATATTTGTATAAGGTTTTTTTCTTTTAGCTTTTCATATGATCCCACTTATTTAAAAATACATAGTGACTTTGAATAACTTAAAAATCTTCTCAAACCTTGAAGACATACTAAGTGAAATAAGCCAGTCACTAAAGGGCGAGTATTATATGATTCCACTTCTATGATATACCTACAGTAGTCAAATTCATAGAGACAGAAAGTAGAATGATGCCTGCCAGAGCCTGGGGGGAAAGGGACAACGGAGCTGGGCGGGGCGGGGGGGGGTTCTTTTTCAGCCATGCAATGAGACATTTCATTATTATTTCAGGAGTAACACATATCTTTTGCCATAATATAGACTTCATTCTAAATGAAAAATAGTTTAAAGAATGCATTGTAGAACAGTGACAATTATTATCTCAGTAAATGTTTTTATTATCAAGGAGGTAAAGGTTTAAATGGGTTCATGAGGGCCACCTGGGTGGTGCAGTTGGTTGAGCACTTAACTCTTGGTTTTGGCTCAGGTGATAATTGCAGGTGGAGGGATTGAGCCCCAACCTTGGGCTCTGTGTTCAGCATGGAGGCTGTGTAAGACTTTCTCTCCCTCTGTCCTTCACCCTCCACCACCATGTTCTCTTTCTTTCTCTCACTCTCTTTCAAATAAGTAAATAAATCTTTAAATGGGTTCATGACTATATTTATGACAGAATCAAATTACATACTTGAAATATTTTCCAACAACCTTCATTAAGAAACTTTATCATTCTAGGAGGAATTGTTGATAAGGATCTTCGTCACTACCTCAACTTACGATTTCAGAAGGGTTCTGTGGACCACGAACTGCAGCAAATCATCCGTGACAACCTCTACCTCCGCACGGTGCCATGTGAGTACAACAGGCGATGTTGTCTTCCTATGTTAAAAAATAGATAATCAGTTATATATCCATTATTTTTCTTTAAGAAAGTTAAATTGCATTGATTTTTTTTATGATGGACTTTTGGGACAAAATCAATTTGAGATATGGACTTTTTTTGAGATACGGAATTTTTAAATGAAAAAACTTATAGCTACCATTGTGTGGTTTATGGTGATGTTGTAGCCAGAAGAGACTTGTGATTTTCAAGCTACAAAACTTTGTCTTACTTCTTACCTAAGTATTGAGAAATATTAATTCTAGTCCAGGATGCTGATGATTTAGAATGAATCATGATTGCGTTAGAACTCCAGCTGGGAGACAGGAGAATGCAAATTAAGTCTATTAGCTGAAACAGATATTTTGTAAATGGAATCTACACACTAACTCCCAATCTCATCTCTGATTTGCAGCAGGGAAACCTCACAAGTGAAAAGAAATGCATGGAAAAGTAAAGCTAAATGTTCTATAACTCTTAGAAAGTGATAACATTGAGTATTGAGTACAAATTTCTTATATGCAACCTATAGAAGTCCACAAAACAACAATCCTTGATTATGAGCAGTTGCTCCTTCAAAAGAGAGGACTTGGTCAAATGATAAAATTCATGCATCAACTTTTTAGTACTTGTTTCATGTTATTTAATAATCTTCTATTAACTTTAGGACGGTTCAAGGACTTTCCAAATCAGATCCTAGATCCTAAGGAGAGATCAAAATCCACTTCCTTCATGTTCCATGACCCCCAGAGATTTTACAATCTCCAGAACCTCTGTGGGTGTTGTGTGTATCCCTTTTGTTTTAGTTCTTCTTTGAATTTTAATAAACTCAAAGTTATTGGCTCAAGAAAGTTGATATTAAAGAAAGAAAAATTTGGCTAGCATAAATAAACAAAAAAAAGTGTGTGTATATTTGCAGGGAGAGGATATTGAACTACAAGAACTATGTAAAAGCTATGGATCATGGATGATTATACTGAAATGTTAAAAACACAAAGAGAAGTAAAATGGAAAATCAGCCCCCAGCCCTTTTCACCTATGCACATCTCAGGAGGGGTAGACTTTTGTCATTGTTAACACGTAATGTTCATCAAAATAAAAATGTCAGGGCCCCACTATCATGTATTCTTAAATGAGAATGCTTACTGATTGACACCTTGTCAGTCCAAATGCTACCTCTGTCTGTTTGTGTTAGTGAAGTGAATAGACTGTTGGGCTCTTGCTTTAAAGCTAGAAGTTGGAAAAAAGTGCATTCTTAAACTTGTAAGTTTGACATTAGAGTGATGGCCAGAAGAAGATGGATTAAAGTAAGTGGCTGAACTATTTATAAGGTAACGGGTGGACGCATTTCAAAGCTGTGATGTTGTCAGTGCAGCCATGTGCATTTATCTTTTGTGACATGAAAGAAAGGAGATCTGAAATACTGAATAAAGAATCCAGGTACTTTATTATGTTTAAAAGCTGAGGGAAATAGATAAGAGCCTGACATTCAGGAATAACTTGTAGTCCTTGCTAAGGCAATAACATAAATAAGAAGTCTTAATTAAATATGAAGATAATAGGAGTAAATTTTGCATTAGTTAATTAACTTCTTAAATAAGTCATCTCTCTTTAGAGTACCAAAGAAATACTACGAAGGAAAAATAAATATAAGGGTAAAACAACTAGGCTTATATGAGTAAACATAAAGAGTTTTGTGATATGATTTCAGTACAAGGTCATAAATTCAATTAGAAGTCCTTGAATAACTCCTATAAAGTAGATGATTAAAAATTCAATGAATCTGAATATTAAAATCAAACAATTATTCTTTGGATTTGTAGCCACCACTCCTAATAGCCAATTCCAGTAATACTACTCATTAAGGGTACTCTTAACTTTGCATAAAAGTGAAGAGATATCTAAGATAGAAATAAGTCTGATTTATATGATCTTATAATCACTTTTATACTGATAAATTATACTTGGCTAATCTACAATATTCACTCAGTATATCTTTTAATAAAATGTTCAGACATATTCAGAGTATGCAACAAAAATGTGTCAGTTCTGTGAAAAATCATGGCTTTATTTAGAAACTCACGTGTGTGTCCAGCCTATCTATTGACCTTGAGTATGGAGTAACATTTGTTACATATTTTCTTTGGTCAGAAAATTCTCATTGGTGTTCATGAGCCCAGCACCATGAAAGGAAAAGGTATTACTCAAATGTGTGTTATTGCTCTTATAAATGCATACATTAAAATGTATGCCTCTTGTGTAATCTATTAATGGCACTCGGAATAGGTGCTGGATAACAACATGAAAAAAAATGTAGTCAGCTTGTAACTACGTAAGGATGGCTTAGCTGTTTTTGCAAGGCAAGGCTCAACTGAGTAATTCTGCGAACTACCACATTACTCCACCACCAATAACTATGTCTGGGAGGAAAGGAACAGTCTTGGAGCTAGATTTCCTCGGTATCTAGTGAATAAGAGAGGGTTCTGGGGTGAGAATTCCAGGGACACCCTCGCCTCACACACCCCTATACACTCAGCCAAATTCAGTTGTGACCAGCTTGGCTCCTGTACCCCTTTCCAAAAGGAATCTGGGTTTGGCTGCTGATGGATTTCCAAGCTGAGTGGGAGAGGGAGGTGGTCATCCCAGATCTCTACTGGGCCTTAACTATAGATAATATGAAACTCCATCAGTCTGTTCCCTGCCCCATAAACAGTTGACTGCATTTAGTCTTTTCATTTAGTTTCCCCAGAATCTTATCTCAGGGCCTAATTCTTCAAAAATACATTTTTTTCGAAGCCGTGTCTCTAGTCATGGAAGGCAGGACTTGGTCACAGAAATAGGATTGTTGGGCATGAGGTGACATGAGCATCCACACACCTGCATATGCACACGGAGGCTTCCATTAGATCAGTTCTTTGTTCTTTCAAATCAAATTAGGGAGAAAAGATCCTTAGGAACTAACTCTTTATATTTTTGCTAAAACATAAGCCAATCATATGATTTATATCCATTGAAGTCCTCAATTTGGACCTAAATATGTGTCTTTTAATTGCCAGTTGTATGATTTATTGGGACTGGGAGGGGGTGGTAAAAGTCTTAAAGTGTCCTAAAGTGAAAGTTGATTTTTTTTAAAATACATACTGTAAATGAATTTTCTACTCTTAGATTTCAGGCTATATAGGATTTTTATGTAATAGAACTTCAGGAGATATGGGTAAATAATGATGAGACATTAGTGTTATAATAATCTAGAATGTGATAAAGACTAACTAGGAAACATATACAGATAAAGGACTCAGAAGAGTTCAGAACCTCCATCAAATAGGATTTTCAATTACCTTAATAGTACACAAAAGACAATTTCAGAAGCACTAAATTAGCAGCATCTATTGAGAAATTAGACAAGATTATTTCACTGCAACATGTTAAGTATACAAAGTTAAGGCAGCATATGTTGTTCTTTGGGTAATATAGATTCAAAAGTACATAAAAGAATTTAATGGAATTAATACATAAAAATATTGGATTAATTTTCAAGTGTTTAAAAAGTAAAAACAGAGTGTTTTGGTTTGAATATTCTACTGAGCCTAAAGGTTGCATTTAGTTAACTCTTGAATCTAACCAACCACAGTTAAATTGGCTGTGCTTCTTAACTACGAGAAAAAAATAATCACTTTCATTTACTGATGAAATTCTGGTCTTTTCTATCCTTAATATTTATTAAAGACACAAATTAATTTTCAAGGCAGGTATGAACACAGATATAAATTTTAGATGCTTTTTCCCATTATACTAGATATCATGAAGAACTTCAATGACCAATTTTAAAAGTTTCAAAATGAAATGGAAGGTAGTTAAAATTAAACTTCTCTCCCAAGTTTATACTTTATCATTTGGTGAGATGGTTTTATTGGGAAATATTTTAAATTTATTGGAAGCCAAAAGAAATACCAGCGTATACCAAGTAAAAGACAAAAATCAATAAAACCAAAGGTCTAAAACTATTCCATAAAATGTGATAAAATGAAAAACATAGATTTAAGATATGAAAGAAGTTGCGTTTATGGAAGAGCTGATTGAGGTGTAACTCACAATGATGTTTCTACATATTTAAGCAGTTAAAGTTAGTATAAACTACGTCATTTTAAAAAAGAAGCAATATCAAGAATAAAATTATTTTAAATTTTCCGTTATGTTAAATTATCTTTCATAGAGAAGCAGATGGAAGCAGATAGAAGAGTTACGGGAACTGCTTCCTTTTAAGAAGAGCAGTTACCAATATGCCGAAAGGTGTAGATACGCAAGGGGTCAACATCCCATTCCCATAGTTGTATAGGACAATGATCAGAGAGGACTAATGGAGAGAAGCTGCTGAACATATATTTATTTAAAAGTCTGATTTGTTTTTAAAGTTTTAAAATAGAGCAAAGTTTTCTAGTATACTGCATAGAGGAGAATAATTTTAATTCTTAAGACACATCAGTACTTTTTTTTTTTTTTTTTAAGATTTTATTTAATTATTTGTCAGAGAGAGAGAGGGACAGAGAGCAAGCACAGGCAGACAGAATGGCAGGCAGAGGCAGAGGGAGAAGCAGGCTCCCTGACGAGCAAGGAGCCCGATGTGGGACTCGATCCCAGGACGCCGGGATCATGACCTGAGCCGAAGGCAGCTGCTCAACCAACTGAGCCACCCAGGTGTCCCATACACATCAGTACTTTTAAAGCTTATAAAAAATATTTGTTAATATTCAACAAGGCAATATGTTTTTGTGGGCATGAGTGAATCTTTCCAGTTACTTGTAATTTTCATCATGAAAGTGTAGTTCTAAGCATGTAGTAAGAAAAGAGAGTGATATCAACCTATGGGTTAAACTACGAAAACTATATATATATATTTTTTTCTTCCAATGACATGAAATTCTATGAGTTGAAGGTGATCAAGAATATAATTAACTATTCCTGATATCTTTAA